GAGAGGTTTATCACTTAAGTATTTGAAAAATGCTACTTACACCCAAATGTAGGATAAGTAGTTTAATTACAATGTTGTCAGGAATGCACATAATATGGCGCCTGTATTTTCTGAAAATTTTGCCATTTTAATGGGAGGCTTTGGGGTGCATTGTAACAATGTCTACTGGAGGCTGTGCTCATCTAAGCATTCCAATTTTGATTCAATTTGATTAAACCCTTCTCACAGGAAATGAACATGATTTAAAAAGTTTTGTCTCTAATCCCACCAAGAACATAGCCTACAATCACCTCAATATGCAAGGTCAATTATATGTCCAAGGTGAAAAAAATCTATATATATACTGTATAAGGACAAAGCTAATTCTCTACAAAATAAACATACCCTTTTAATCCATATCAACATTCCTGCTCTTAGATGGTATGGTAAACTTGTTTACTTTGCATTACTTGTCCACTGTCACTATTTGCCCAATTTACTCATCTACATGTACAGCATATTAGAAGTAACCAAAATAAATAAGACCAATTTAATTACAGTATACAATTACAGAACAATACAAACAAGCAAAAATTATAATGTACATTAAGTGCAAAACTTCATCATTAACAGGAAAATTGTTATTTAATTTTATACATTTCCTGATGAAACTTTTTCAAAACAAAAAGAATAGATAATGACTCGTATTTTTAAATTTATTTTCATTAGACCTCATAGGGAATTATAGTTTCAATTAATTATAAAGTAATATAAACATAGCAGAAGAGATATTTTACAATGGTAATAAAAATCACCAAAGAATAATCATAATATATTGGTAATCAGAAGACTTAGTATCCACTATGTCCATTACAGTATGCTGTATACATCATGTCCATTACAGTATGCTGTAGATCTCATATCCATTATGTCCATTACAGTATGCTGTATGCCTCATGTCCATTACAGTATGATGTATGCCTCATGTTCATTATGTCCATTGCAGTATGCTGTATGTCTCATGTCCATTATGTCCATTACAGTATGCTGTATGCTTCATGTCCATTATGTCCATTACAATCTGTTATATGCCTAGTGTCCATTATGTCCATTACAGTCGGTTATATGCCTCATATCCATTATGTCCATTACAGTATGCTGTATGTCTCATGTCCATTTATGTCCATTACAGTATGCTGTATGCCTCATATCCATTATGTCCATTACAGTATGCTGTATGCCTCATGTCCATTACAGTATGCTGTAGATCTCATATCCATTATGTCCATTACAGTATGCTGTATGCCTCATGTCCATTACAGTATGATGTATGCCTCATGTCCATTATGTCCATTGCAGTATGCTGTATGCCTCATGTCCATTATGTCCATTACAGTCAGTTATATGCCTCATATCCAGTATGTCCATTACAGTATGCTGTATGTCTCATGTCCATTATGTCCATTACAGTATGCTGTATGCCTCATATCCATTATGTCCATTACAGTATGCTGTATGCCTTATGTCCATTATGTCCATTACAGTATGCTGTATGCCTCATGTACATTATGTCCATTACAGTATGCTGTATGCCTCATGTCCATTATGTCCATTACAGTATGCTGTATGCCTCATGTACATTACAGTATGCTTTATGCCTCATATCCATTATGTCCTTTACAGTCGGTTACATGCCTCATGTCCCTTATGTCCATTACAGTATGCTGTATGCCTCATATCCATTATGTCCATTACAGTCTGTTATATGCCTCATGCCCATTATGTCCATTGCAGTATGCTGCATACCTCATGTCCATTATGTCCATTACAGTATGCTATATGCCTCATGTACATTACAGTATGCTGTATACCTCATGTCCATTATGTCCATTACAGTCTGTTTTATGCATCATGTCCATTATGTCCATTGCAGTATGCTTTTATATGCCTAGTGTCCATTATGTCCATTACAGTCGGTTACATGCCTCATGTCCCTTATGTCCATTACAGTATGCTGTATGCCTCATGTCCATTATGTCCATTACAATCTGTTATATGCATAGTGTCTATTATGTCCATTACAGTATGCTGTATGCCTCATGTACATTATAGTATGCTGTATGCCTCATGTCCATTATGTCCATTACAATCTGTTATATGCCTATTGTCCATTATGTCCATTACAGTCAGTTACATGCCTCATGTCCATTACAGTATGCTGTATGCCTCATGTCCATTATGTCCATTACAATCTGTTATATGCCTAGTGTCCATTATTCACATTACAGTATGCTGTATGCCTTATGTCCATTATGTCCATTACAATATGCTGTATGCCTTATGTTCATTATGTCCATTACAATATGCTGTATGCCTCATGTTCATTATGTCCATTACAGTATGCTGTATGCCTCATGTTCATTGTGTCCATTACAGTCGGTTACATGCCTCATGTCCATTATGTCCATTACAGTATGCTGTATGCCTCATGTCCATTATGTCCATTACAATATGCTGTATGCCTCATGTTCATTGTGTCCATTACAGTATGCTGTATGCCTCATGTCCATTATGTCCATAACAGTATCCTGTATACCTCATGTCAATTACAGTACATGTAAATTGCACAAAAAAAGAAAACCCTTACACTTGAATAAAGAAATGAAAATTTAAAAGGCGTCAAAAAACAAATACATTCAAATAACTATGTCAACAATTTGAGTGTAACATGCATCATCCAAACACACCATAAATAGCTGGTGTTGTAATGAGAATAATGATTCAAATACTGTAAAATCAGAAGGTTCAATCACTTGGTCAAATATGCAAACACTCCACAAACTTTGAAAAATCAAACCTATCATTGTAAAGTGGCATTCCTCATATGGAATCAAGCACAGAGACAAGGTAGCATTGTGCTAATAACATAACATGCACCTGACACCTATACATACTTCCTAAAAACTGAACCTGAACTCCAGCATATACCATGAAAGTGTTCCACTAAATACTGTATATACTGGATTATGAGATGTATCTGACCAACTAGAAACTGCACAGACCCAGATCAGCTGTCACATAATGAATCAGCAGATCTGGGTTTGTTAGGAATAATCAGCAAAACAAAGAACTCAGACCGTGACCTGCAAGCACATTATGCTTTGGCAGATCTGACATAACAGCTGTTCACTTGCCTCAACACAGATGGTTCTGGAGCTTGGAAGATCCAATTGCTCCCAAAGTCCAGTTCCATGACTATATTGGAACAAGCATCTGCAGGTAACTTGTACAAGCTGCCACAATCATGCCATTGTCAAGATAGATTTTGTAAATGATGAACAAAACAAGCCCTCCCAATATGTTCCCCAGTCCGTATTTGCTATAAATAATTAATTCTGGGCTGCACAACAACAGTATTTACTATGTGAACAGAAAGTTAGTTTAAAAAAATAAGCCATAAAAATGTATTTTCTTCCAAAACAAGAACATACAACTGTCATGTTTTACGTCATCATGTACAGCTGTAGATTTTAAAATTTTGAATCCCTTAGCTTCAGCCCATTTCTAAACTCTTAATTATCTGTAGATGACATTTAACAGCATGCATAAGCTTTCATCAAAAATCAAAGTCATCAACTTACAATGAGCAGCAATTTCTTGGATCAAGATATTTTACCCAGCCATTAATTTTGAAGCCAAATAGGTTAACTGACAAGATGATGCCCTGATGTACTCCTATATCATAATGATACCTTTAGAAAGGCTTCTGAAAATCTTGACTCTGAAATTTCTATCTTGCAAAAAAAAAAAACTGGATCTAAATTTGGGTAGCTACCACTTAGAGAAAGACTGAATAGGTTATTCATTATGTAATACTTCAGTAGTGCCACAAGCTTTCTCCAAGTTGAAAAAGATTGTAACTTTATTTCATGCAGAGTCAGCTTGTGCTTTAATAAAAGTAAAATGTGCATATACTATAGCCAAGACTTAAATAAAATCTTACCAAGAATAAATAAAGGACTTGCAAAGCAATGACTTGAATATGGAATATGTCAACAGATTTAACTTTTTATAAAAAGGGAACAAATGGTGCCTTTAAACTTAAATGGTGATCATTTAAACTCTAAACATTTAAATGACCAAGAAAAACCTATTCCTTGCCTCATACTTGTCATTCAGCAATTTTACACCTTTAACTGTGCTCTCAATACTCAGCAGGGGACACAACTGTTAGCACTTCAAATTAAATGGCTATGCTACACAGTTTCTTTGTCACTGGTTAATAATGGGATATAATGATCATTACAATATTTCTTATAAACTAACTTGAGCTGAATTTATTACTTTATATGTTGACAGATTTTATAAAGCTGTTTTAAATTCAAATGTCAAAAACATTATTTCCCCTTGAATTCATGCAGAGTTTAGTATTTATCTGACATAATGTGCATGGCCCTGTGTCCTGCACTAATATCACAAGCAGTCTGAAGTAGAAAAAATTGTCTGACAAGGTATACCTATTCTTCTACTTAGCCAGACTTGAATCACTTACAAAGCATCTCCTTTATGGTGAGAACAAACTTTTGCTGCTTTACAAGTCAGCAACATTTATAAAGATTAATTAATGTCATCTTCTAATGCCAAACAAACAAAACATGTATATTTTCGGTCAACCAAACTTCCTTCTTTCTTTTTGCTTAAGTTTTCTTTAAATAAAAAGGACATACCTTTTGTAATTTTAAAACCAGTACAATCGTAAACAGTTTTTTTCTTGGCCTAAAATGTTTGTGATTTAGATATTTAAGAGACCTTCAACAATTTTTCAGCCATATAGCTACAATTTCTGCAGTGTGACAGTTTATAGTGATGTCTAGCACTGGGACATCATGCAACAGATATGTAGCATCATATCCCACCCAGTCTCATTATCCTGACACCAGGCCAACCAGTCCCAACACTAACATGTTAATGCCAAGCGCCAAGCCAGGCATCTGTTAGTACCATTTTTAAAATCTTTGGTACGACTTGGATGGGGTTCAAACCCACTACCTCCCACATCCAAGGCAGACAATCTAACCACTAGGCCACCAGAGTAGTTTAAAGTCTCCAACAGTAAAGTGGCTCTTTGTTAGACTAACATGAATTTTAAGTACTGATATTCTAACACAAAAATCATTGTAGCATCCCTTTTTCATAATAGAGCATGCATTAAAACTTCAAAATTTTTTCACCCACCCATCCATCCCAGTTTGTTGCTTTTTGAAAAAAGTTTGTATTTACCTCATTTATTCAACAATCTTTTGTAAAACCTCCCTCTAGAATCAAGACTTTAATAGCTCTAGTATTTGTGTGAAATACAAGAAATTATGGAGGGAAAATTAACAAGAATTTGAATCTATAGTAAAAGTCATACAGGTAATGTAGATGCAATTAAATCAAATTTTATTTATTGTTCTAAGATTTAATACTACAGTACTTTTAACCCAAGTCTATGAACATTTAATGCTTTGAACTGTAAATGCCACAGAAAAAATAAAAAAAGCTGAAAATGTTGATTGCCAGGGACTTCACAATGGTAGATCAAGGTACAAAACTGGACAAACAAGACCACATCAGGTCTATCATAACAAAATAAAATGGCAGTATGAATTTGTTTTCAGTAATAAAATAACAGGGCAGTATGAATTTGTTTTTAGTATGTACTTCTTTCATTGCAATGCCTCAGCATGCAATTATCAGTCTGATTTGCTATGGTTTACACCTTCAGATTGACCTGTCTAAAAATGTCCACATTGATTTTGGGGTGAATACTTCTCAGGGCAAGTAAATATAGATCTCCAAAGGATTATGGATGTATGAGGATCCAATTAAAGTTAATAACTTCCATTTAAAGGTATGTGTACTCAATTCCAACAAATGACACTACATAGTCAGTTCATAACCCCTACATGACATGTGAGACTTTAGTACACATACACAAGTGGTTTGGAAACTGACCACCAGTCAAATAAACTAGAATCTTAATATGTTGATCAATTTAGTTATACACTGTTTAAGACCTCTATCAATTAGAAACCACATGCCTTCCTTTCAAGGTAGATGTTACAGTATTACTTTTATGGAAGCTGAATACACAATGTATCATATGTACATATGCAAGCTTTATGTTAATCAAGTCAAATATTTTCACTATATGACTTTTCCAAATGAGAGTGCCCTGAACAAGTACATTCATAATATTTTTGCCCAGTTTAAAAGTGCTGCAGTGGGCACTAAAAGGACATAGCTGGCTCTGAAGCTTAGTAACCAAAAGAGTTTCAGTGACTCTAACTTTACTTAAGCACTGGTCAAGGAATGCTATCTTGATCCCAAATTTCTTTTGCTTGAACCATTAATATCTGTGACCTCCAATCACCAATCACCAAAACCATTTTTTTTTGCAAGCTACAATAACAATGCCTTTTCGATGTTTGACCCCAAAATTAACAGAACCATTCCCTATTTGAAGTATAAGCTCTCCACTAAGCATGGTCAAAACTGTCTAGAACTTATGCATTTATGCAAAAACCATTGTTCTTCAATCAGTCACACTGACCTTGATTTGTAACTTTTAGGGGTCACCAAGTGTCTGAGTGGTCTAATGTGCTCTGTGGCCTTTACTAAACAATGCCGTCTCAAGGTCTCAAGTCTGTCTGCATGGGTAAAAATCTTGAGCTCACCCAACGTAGGTGAGAAAGTTTAAAGCAGCTTCCCATGGATCAATGGTTCTTACAAGTTTTGCTTGGTTCTTTCTCCATCAGTTGTAATGGCTGTCAAGCATAGTCTTTTTTGCACAAATAAATGGTCATAAATCAAAAACAAAAACAACAACAAATCCTTCAGTCACACTGACTTTGACCTTTTACATTCTGGGGACCCAAATCAATCAGCATCTTTCTTACTACATAGTAGGCCATCCATAAACTGGTGGAGGTTGAGAAGTGAAATGTCATGCATAAACCATTTTTCATCTAAAGACTTTGACCATTGACCTTTTGAAATAAAAATCAAGATGTTTCAGCTTTACTCAAAGTAGACCCCATGCACAAACTCAAGTCCAGGTTTGTGATGCAGAAGTTCAGTTTGAGTGCAGAAACAATTTTTTTCATCTTTTAGTCAGTGGTATTGACCTCCAACTATGATCCCAATCAATACTACCCCAAATCTTTGTTACCCCAAATGCCAGCTATTTAAAAATTTTGGTAAATAGGGATGATGGAGTTATTGTCAACAAAAAAAAGGGCACAGATGAGTAAATGGTCAAGATAACCAGATGCTTTTAATGACATACCACAATGTGCCTAAAGTTGGGCATATAATTAGAGACAACAGAATCCCAGATAATGGTAGCTGTAAAAAAATGACTTGAATGGAAATCTTGTTTATTCTAGAAATATGGTTTAAAGAGTCTGAAATATAATTTCTATGTTATTTTCATAATAAAACTACCATACAGTTCTGTTTTTAGAGTTTCTGAAGACTGAATTTTATTGCTGAAAAGACAAGCACCCAATTGAGACTGATGCAATAATCAAATCAACCAGAAGATCACATATGCATTACAATCCTAACTTCAACCAGAAGATCACATATGCATTACAATCCTAACTTCTCATACTGTTATCTCCATATAGTAGTCCAGTTTGTTCACCTCTGCAAGGCATTAGATTAAAATTAATGACAAATATTACTCTAAACCACAAGCCAACAGCCAGAGTAAAGGAGAAAAACATGTCAATATCTGAGAACATAAAATTTTAGTACAAGTAAATTCAGTTCTTTCACTAACTAGAATTTATTTTCTTCTCAATCTTCTATCTATTATCAATGTACACATTTTTAATTTTATCATTTAATTTCTGTGTACACAGTTTTCCAAAGGATCTAAAGAAAAACATTTTAATTATACCCTTTAAGAAACATCAATGTATATGTTCAAAAGGACACTGGTCTTATTAAAAATTTTTGTCATCACTATTGCTACTATTTTCTGATCTAAAATGAGAAAATTTGCAATTATTGGCATGTATTCAAAATATTCTGTGTATCACATATAGTAAAAATCTGGAGTAAAAACCTTCCAAACATATTCATATTTTTTCTTCATTCTCTAGTAAAAGATACATGTATCACTAATGCTTTTAAAGAAAATTTAATTTATAATTAGCAATAAGCCCAATATAATTCATAATTAGTAATAAGCTCAATTTAATTCATAATTAGCAATAAGCTCAATATAATTCAAAATTAGTAATAAGCTCAAAATAATTCATAATTACTAAGAAGCTCAATATAATTTATAATTAGTAATAAGCTCAATTCATAATTAGTAATAAGCTCAATATAATTCATAATTAGTAATAAGCTCAATTCATAATTAGTAATAAGCTCAATATAATTCATAATTAGTAATAAGCTCAATTCATAATTAGTAATAAGCTCAATTTAATTCATAATTAGTAAATGTATATATCTGCTCAATAACAATACAGTAAAAGCCCACAATAACATCGCTTAATTGCAACAAATTTGGATTCAACATTTTTGTGGTGTGGTCACTGAAATTTTACAATAACTTCACCAATTTCTTGCACTGTTCACACTATTTTACGAAAATATTGGGTAAGGAGATTGTAATAACTTTTTAAGGAAAAATGTCTTGAACGTAAGGACTTATCACATTGTCACAACTCAGCCAATTCCATATCTCTATACAGAAACAGTTCACAAATTCATTCGAGCTGTGCTAACTGGCATACTTGCTTCTGTGTCCTGTTTCCAGTGAGTTCTTCATGGATAAATCGATAAGTAAAAACTGTTAGTAACTGTCACAATTAAGCTGATATTAATAATGGGAAAAAAGTAAGAACATCTTAACATTTTTTTTTGTAAACACTTTTTCTGGTCTTACTAAATTTGAATATTAAGGAAGCATATTTTCAATTTGTAAGGACTGGTATGAACCTGTCTCAAAGCAAAGCAAAAATCTGTGCCAAACTGAACATGAGATCGTATAACTTGGAACATACTATATATATTCTTGATGTTGTTGTTGTTGGGCTTAACGCCATTTTTCAGCACATGATAGGCTATTCATGGCGGCCAGTATTAATGGTGGAGGAAGAAACCCAAAAAGAACCACCAAGCTTTCTCACATATCCACATTCAACGAGTCTAGTTGAATCCTAGACTTGAACACACACAGACAGAGGTGAGATGGCAGTGATCCTTAACGGACAGTGCTTTAGACTACTCGGCCACTCAGTAGATAGTATATATTCTTGATGATAACAGTGTATTATCATTGCATCTTTTTAATATGAATAATTATAGTCTAAGATTTGGTGAATGTGGATATGTGAAAAAGCTTGCCAGTAGCTTCTCATGGGTCAGTGGTTCTCTCTGTGAATTTCCCAGTTTCTTCCTCCACCATTAATACTGGCTACCATGTATAGCCTATAGTGTGCTGATAAATGGTGTTAAGCCCCATGACAACAACAAGTAGTGGATGGCTTCACTATTTTAAGAAGCACACACAATTTGTAAAATGACCAGTTTCAGGTGAAATTGGCTCTTCATATTTCGAGGTCACTGGTTCCTATCCAGACAAATTAGGAGAATAAAATAAAGAATGTAAATATTTTCCTGAGCTGCCTTGTAATTATGACAAACCTGATTTTCTTTCAAAATCCTGCCTGGCACCACCCTAATCATTTCTCCAATCATTGCTTAATACAACTAAGCATAATAGCATCTTAGGATTTGCCCACAAGGTACATGACCTCTTTCAAATTTAGACTAAAGGGTCTCCTGAACTGAAGTCTTGTCACCAAATTTTTTTTCACATTTCTTTGTTTTTTCATTTTGAATACTAAAATTATGCCCTGCTCCAGCATCTGTATCCAGGAAGTGGCATTCTTTGGGAGAAGCAGAATTGCTACGTATCGGCTCGTTCAAAGTAACAGAAGAAAATACTGGAGACAACAAGCTAAGTTTTAACAAAGATAATTTTATTTCCCTACATAACACGGTGAAAAAGGTAAAAATACAAAACAGGAATTATGGA